TCCTTCGCATCGAGCTGGTTCAGAACCGACTTTGCAAGGTCAAACTGATGAAGAGGATGCTGGTAGGGCCAGATGCGCTTTTCAATCGACTTTGCCAGAGTTAGAAGCACGAGGCACTGGTGACCCCATCGGCGATTGAGGGCAAGCATGAAGAGTGCTCGACAAATACGTCCAGACTGCTGAGCAACGTAGTTCATGTCATTTGAAAGGGCGAAATCTTCCGGCTGCGCTTTCGAGATGTAAGACTGTAGCAAAATGTTTGTTTTTGCCTGAGGGGTGTCAATGCCTCCATCCACATCACATGGGATGATCTCTCGACGTAGATGAGTCAACTCCTTCTCCTCACTATCTCTGGATTGGATGTTGTCAAACTCTCCGCTCATACTGATCATCTTTAGAATGTCGGCCTCTGTAGCCTGAGGTTGCATCATGGCGTTGAAAACCTGAATACTTGTGTGGAGAATATAGTATTGACTGGCAATTCTTCCGATATCCTTGCTGCGCAGCTCATCTGTCCTTTCATTGTAGATAATCATCTGGCATTGCTGCAAGGTTTTGGCAGCCTGAATAGCAAGCTGACGGCGTCTTTGAACCAGGTTTGGGTCGTCGCGAATTTCTGACCATTCTATGCCATAGGACATTGGGCTCCTTTGCATGCGCACGAAGAGGTACGAGTATCCGATCCACTGGACGGCATCCGGAATAGAAGTGACAGTTCCGAGTGCGATTTCAGCATTCAGATTGTCAACTAGCTTCGTCGAGAATTTCGATTCGATGGGCTGTTGTTCCGTCACCGCAGTCAGGTAATGGGTTAACTTGTCGTGAGTTGTGCAGATCATGCCGATACCAGTGTCTTCGAATTGAGGACGACCAGCTCGACCAAAGATCTGAAGTACGTCAAGAATTCCCAGATCAACAAATTTACCATCCTGAGCGCTGTAAACCTGAGTTCCCTTGATTACGACTGCTGCGGCAGGCAAGTTGACACCCCATGCTAGAGTGGCGGTACAGCAGAGAACCTTCAGGACACCCTCTCCAAATAGTCTTTCCATCAAGTTTCGGTCAGATCTTGCCATTCCAGCGTGGTGAACACCGATTCCCTTGGATAGGAGCTCACGGATCTCCTTGGATTTGGACTGCTTGATATCACGCGACGCTTGCTCAAACCCAGGATGATAGCTCGGGTCAAGGAGATCTGCACACATGGCATCGATGGCCTTCTGGTGCAACATTCGCGCTGTAAGCTGCGTATCTCTTCGTGAGTGAACGAACACCATGACTTGATGATCACGCTCGAGCATCTCTTTGACCTTGTCAAAAGCGACCTGGTCAAGATTCTCCTTCGATTGCTTTGTTCCAGCCTTTCCTTTGACGCCGATGAAGTGTTGTTCCAAAGGAACAGGGCGGAAGGACGAGTCGAAGTAGAATAGGCCTGCATATTTGTTGACTTTCAGGAAATCGGCGACATCGACATAATTGGGCAGTGTGGCACTGAGACCAACAATTCGAATGAGAGACTGCGTACTCTCAACCTGCCGTTCCGTTCGAGCCACAAGGGATTCTAGGACAGCGCCTCTCTCATCATGAAGCATATGTACCTCGTCTATAATGAGAAGACGAACTTTTTGAACAAGTTCCGTGTCTCCAGTGCCCTTGCGTGTGACGACATCCCATTTCTCGGGTGTCGTAACAATAATTTGAGTCTGGATGATTTCAGACTTGGTGAGCTGCATATCTCCAGTGTACTCTCGACATTTGATACCAAGCCAGGCCAGGCGCTTGCCTAGCTTCTCTGTCACCTCAGCAGCAAGCGCCTTCATGGGGGCAACATAGACGATTTTGAAGTCATCGGCGTTGACAGCAAATTCTGTAGCTGACGGGTCTTCGAAGGGGTTAGGCTCAACATTCTGTGCAATTGTTTGAAGAATGGTAAGCATAGCAGCATCCGTTTTACCCTAGTCATGTTAGTAGCTGAAAGTAAATGTTGGTCCAAGTGGACTTACAGCACCAGTAGGAGCACATATCAACATGTTCTCACTAGTCTTATGGGCAACAGGATAGACAAGACTCTGCATACGGTTCAGCGTCTTGTAGCCCTTGAATGTATTCCGGCACAACCCATTGAGTTCCTTGACAGGAATAAGCCGCTGTCCAGGGCCCAGTACACCCTTCTTGCCAGCGGGGATAAAGTACTCCTCGTACTTGTCAAACGATAGCCGCTCGCTACCAACTGGCAGTCCGTACTTTTTACCGGCGTAGCTCAGGGTGTTTCCAGCGCTGTATGCTTTATAGACGTGTGGGTATTGGGGTTCCTTTGAATGTGCTGGTGCAAGAGTTGCAGATTTGTGTGCTTGATCTTGGCGACGCAGGTTTTCTTCTCTTTGAGCCTTGGTCAGGAGTCGAGGTTCGCTGGAGCTCCCCTGACTCTGACTTTTGACAGCTGAAACGATCTCATTTCTGTGACCCAGTATCTCGATGATGAAGTCAAGATCATCAAAGCCTACCAAGTCAGTAAGCTGGATCTGGAGCTCATCGTCAGAGCGATTAGAGTTGAGAACACTCATGATTTGGCTCTCAAACACATCAGCAGACAGTCCATTCTTGGCTGCGATGGCTGAACATCTAATTGCAAACCATTCGGCACCGTAATCTGCCACAGCTGATCCATCTAGGGCTTCTTCATCAGCGAAGTCGCTGCTTAAGGCCTCCTGGTCGTCATCCGAGATAAAGTCCCAGACATCCTGGCCGCTATTTCCACTGGAGTAACCACCAAATTCGTCATCATCGATATCATCTTCGACTGATCCATTCTCTTGAGGAATTTTGAGGTTGGCGATAGCTTCTTGCATAGCCGCAAATTGTTCGCGCCATCGTGCCTCTGCGGCACTAAGTTGCGAGGATGCCATGATGTAATCGATACTATCCAGATGAGAGTTGTTACGTGTCGCCTAGTGGGAAAGTCTTGTGATGCTGTATGAACACAGGAATGTGAGGTAAAAGAGTCGTTATTCTGCTGCCTGTAGTTGTCGGGTGGCAGCCAACTCCTTTTGACGTTGTCCTTGATCGAAAAGGATTGGTTCATGACGGTGGATTGCTTGTTCTTCAAAGAGTCATACCGCTCTGGGTCGAACAAATACCCCACTAAACAAGCCCCCGCCTAGCCGCCAGTGGGCTGTAATGCTAACAGCCACTAACTGCCCTTGGAAATTCAGCGGCCTAGTCGAAGAGCCCGTCTGCGTCGTGGGGAACATGTGACGCCCCTAAACTCAGTCCTTAGTTACGGTGACGGAGTGACAACATTCAACCAAACTTCAAATCCTCCCTCTCCTTCAACTTTCTCCCTCTCATCATCCAATTCTTCCCTCCCGCTGTCGCCCAGCTGCGCGCTCCGCCTTCTACTTATAACCGCCGCTTCTCACAAACTTGATCCCGCAATCATGAAACTGCATTACATCGGCGTACGCTGTCCCTGTGCCCCTCACCGATCGATCGAGACCTCCGTCCAGTTGGGCTAACAAAGCTGCTGCGACCAGATCCTTCGCAACGAGAGCCAGCCGGCTCATGAGATCGTCGCTGAGAAGGAGCTCAGCAGCTATTCGCGATTCACCCGCAACAAGTCAGTCCTACCTTATCATTGCGACCGTTATCTCCGTATCCGGACGGTCCATGGACTGACTCGCAAACTTGAAACAGCTATGGCGAATTCATGACCCTATTCGCAAAGACCGTCGCCGAGCGCACCCGCCCTGGACAGCGACAGGACGTTGAGGAGCAAGGTATGCTTGATTCAGCTCTCTCGAGAAATCACAAGCTTACATGTGCATTCTACAGACTACACTTTCCACGCCTACGGCCGCACCGAGGGTGTCTGCGGTATCATCATCTCCGATCACCAGTACCCTGCCCTTGTGGCACATCAGCTTCTTAGCAAGGTCGTCGACGAGTTCCTCTCCAAGAACCCCCGCTCCAGCTGGGCCACCGGCACACCCGCTCTCTCAATGCCCGAGCTGAAGGAGTACCTCACAAAGTACCAGGACCCTCAGCAGGCCGATAGCATCCTCAAGATTCAGAAGGAGCTTGACGAGACTAAGATCGTTCTCCACAAGACCATCGAGAGTGTGCTACAGCGTGGAGAGAAGATCGACGATCTGGTAGCTAAGAGTGATGGTCTCAGCGCCCAAAGCAAGATGTTTTACCGTATGTCACTGTTCATTCCAAATTTTTCTTCATCGGAAAGCAACTGACCCATTCCACAGAGCAAGCCAAGAAGCAGAACTCATGCTGTATTTTGATGTAATGGATCATTTCGTTTTTCCGGCGTTGGACCTGGCGTCATTTCAGCATATAAGAGATGTCGGTATTGAGATTGGTTATTCGTGTGGCGCAGATACTTCCAATCGTTTTGTCCATCATTCATTCGCAGGGCCATGTCTTTACAGCAGCTAGACTTGTCGAAGAGACGGAGAAGAATCTTGTCACAGGCAGGACGATCAAAGGCAGATAAATGCCAAATGGTAACCATTCTTTTTGACGTGTTAAAAAACAGTCCCTAGTCGGACGAGTGTGAAATGCTCTCTTATCACCAAGCCTAATCTGATCGAAAGATACACAAAGAAGAATAAAATCCGAGTCTTTTGACCCAGAGTGCTTAAAAAGAAATGACAACCCCTTTGCTTTTTGAAGAAGAAACTCCAACGAGATGCTCTAGGGACGAGTCTGCTGTCCCGTGTCTTGCCCATTCATGCTTCTCTGGCGCCTTGCTATAAATCCGTAATCCATAATGTCCAAGCATATCCGTCACTGAAAGCGTAGTATACAAAGGAGACAAACGTATAGGAGGGAAAGATACCCTCTGTGGTATGTACAGGACGGCTCAAACCAGTTGAGTCCGCCATAGTGAGATGCTGCCAGAGCATCATGAAAAGGGTATTGTAGAAATCGTGACCAAGATAGAAGATGAAACCGAAAGGCGATATGGTTGTTCGTCGTGAGATTTGAGTTCAAGATTCCTCAAGAATTACTCTCTCACTCTTGCGGTGTATTTGGTAAGCATCAGGAGAGTGAGTCAACTCCCTCGGGTGCACCAAGGTAGGGGTCGATGACTTGGTCTCAGCTAGACGCTCATCTTTCTCAATCGGGATGTAACCTGGTCCGCTCGGGCTGCCGTTACCTCGATGTCTCAAGCTGGGGTTGCTCTTTAACGGGTGCAGCATCTTGCGTTGTTGGTGCGAAACGCTGATCTGGCGAGCAATGGAGATCTCAACAGCGTTGCGTAAGGCCTCTTGAGCATCAGCCTCGGGAGCTTGCTTCTTGGGCGAAGCCAATGATGAGGACGGAGAGAATCGCCTTGAGGTTTCGGCGCCGGAGGACGTGATGGAAGCTGGGGGCGAGACCATGTGCCACGAAGGTTCCGAAGGAGAAGAGAGCCTTCCCTTAGCTACCTGAACATCTTTCTCATCGTCTGTGTGTTCAGGAGATTCGGGAACTGTGCCTGGTGAGAAAGTAAACGGAGACGAATGCTTGGAGTGGGTGTTGGGCGAGATAATGGGCACAGGTGGCGAGGTCTGTTTTGCGGAAGTAACGCTTATCTTCTCCGTAGACGCTGCACTGGGACGCCTGTTGAATTTGGAGACAAGGGCAGGCTGATAATGCGTAGCTTGCGCTGCGAACTTGTTGTGCTGAGATTCTGACCGCGAAACTTGGGCGACTCTTGGCGTAACTGCTTCAGGAGACTCCTCTGAGTGATAATATGATGAGTCCAATAAGGCCGGGGATGTGTTGGCTCGGAACCGAGGTGAAGGCAGAGGCTTTGAATTATCCTGAGAAACAAAAGTTGGTGAGGGTTGTGGCGACGTTGCCCTCCGTGGCCGAAGAGACTCGTCTCGATTCTCGGCGATTGCGTCCTTCACAGACTTCAGATGATCGAGAGTAGCCTGTCGGCGAGCAAGAAGTGAAGAGGCAGACCCTTGCGGTGGCTGTAAAACACTGTTAAACATGACACTATATCGATCCATCTTGATGCTAGGAATCTCAACATCTAGCAGAGAGTGAGGAATAGCAGGCATCGGTGGCATCGGTGGCGGCGATGAGGGCGGCGGTGCGATTGCTTTTTCTGATCTCTTCTTGCTGGTGTCACCTCGAAGGCCTCTTAGCGACATTTTACGGCCTATGCCCCCCGAACCCGGGTCTTTCAGTTTCGATTCCTTTGATGCCTTGCGCTGAAGAGCAGGCTTCTCTTTTGTTAGTTTTCCTGGCGAGATAGGTTTCACCTCCGCCGACGTTGGTACCGACCGGGGCACTTCAGCAATCGTCTGCGCGGGTTCTGATATAATTGGTTCAGTTTGAGATCGAATTACAATCGGCTTATGCTTTGGCATTTTCCGTGAACTCTGATCTGCTGGTGCTGAAGTCGGCATTCCAGAAGAACCTAATGATGTGGTAGAAGTATTGACACTCTCCGTCATAGATCGTTGGGGCTTCTCTGGCCGCGTGGCTCGCTTCGATTTTGATCGAAAAAGACCCCATTTACGAGCCTTCTGCTGAGTGTCATCGACTGGCTCTGGCACAGGCTCTGGCATCGGCTCCGGGATGTCGACAACGGCATTCATGGCTCTGTTCTGTGGATTCCAGGGCGCCGGCGCAAAGTCTCCCATTTGTGTTGGACTTCCAATTGCCATACCAACAGCAATAACACCAGTCTCGCCAGAATCTATCATAGAATCCGGAGTTGAAGTTCGTACCCAAGTCGTTCTCGTCAGTGACGAGGTTCGCGGGCTGTGTTCGGGGGATGGAAGTCGGCCATGGATCGGTATATGAAACGCCGTCACGTTGCCCTTCTTTGAGCTCTTGAGAATGAGTGCAAGATCGTCTCTGGAAACCCGCTTGTCGAATGAATGTTTGGAAAGAGAATGGCTGTCTGTCCAGTCGGCGGTGAAGCTTCCTCTACGACGTTGATATCCGGAGGCAGCCGATACAGTAGCAGCCCGTGACAGATTTGTAGCCATGACAGAAGTGTCTCGCGACCGCACGAGGGGGTCGTTTTGTAAAGCGTCTAGAATAGATTGACACACAAACAGTGGGTGAAGCAAAGCAGAGCCCAATGCAGCGCGGGGGCGAGATCTATGCTTGGATTTAGAGGATAAAAGGCCTCTGTTTTGACTGAGTAGTTCCCTGCATCGACAGGGTCTGACACAGAAGACGGTTCACCAAGGGCCGACTTTCTCAGGGACCAGGATCCTCTTAAACAAAGCCTGCGATGATTTTTGGACAAGAACTGACCCTCGTCTCACAGGGACCACCCCGCCTTTGACGGAAGCCTATCGTATGAAGCCGTTGATGAGAATCGAGACGAATGCGGTTAAACGGCCGGCAACAAGCAGGGAACTGGGTCCAAGATGACGATGGGGTGCAAGGATGGAATGTAATAAGCGCAAGAGCAATTTCGATGTCCAAGAGCCGATCCCCGGATTGGTTGCCACGCCTCAGATGAAGCAAAATGAGATGGATGCAAGCGGACATGAGTGAGAAGAAACGTCAGCTTATCATCTGTCCAACGACAGAGATTTTGGAGAGACACCCCATCTTGACATTTACAGGGATCGGTCTTGGGAAACAAGCTAAGAGGCTTTGGTCAATGTTTGAGATTGATGGGACGACGGTTCCTGAATGTTGACTTTGAAATCTTTAACGCCCGACGGCATTGATTGCTTCAACTTTCTCTGCAACGGCTACTACGGCCAAGGAACTACTCTGACCAGGGGGGGCCTGTCGAAAGCATATCAAGGAGTGGGCCCTTGGGGGTTCTAAGAGACCCCAGTGTCGTGTGTCAGAGTCGTCAAACCTGGAGGTTCATTTAATGCTTTGAGAGAAATAATTATGCGGTTCGTTGGTTGTCTAGTTGAGGTTTCACTGCTTGTGGCGCTTCTTAGAAGTAACCTTAGCCGCCGCAACGCAACGTACGAGATTGGTGATAATAGAGGCGCTAGCTATAATAATAGCAACGAACGAGGCTCTGTAAGCCTTGAGATGGGTACGTACATGTACAGAAGAAGTGTCTCAGTCGGCGAACGCGGCAATCTACGCGGTTGCTGGGATCTCCAACGTCAACGCTGATCCCGATGACACACGCAACCCATTCACACGGACTTACGGCCGAGGCTGGTAACTTCTGTAACAATAAGACTCACAGACATAATGTGACAGCGATTCATGGGGACGATCCTGAGAACTGAATCGTGGTCACCTGTCAACAGGGACGAAAAAGGATCATATCCCTGTAAGTGTTCGTTGTCAAGAAAGACAAACAGCTAGGCTGTATTAACACGACACTGTAACCTTCCTCCCAGCCAACGAGCACTGGAAGGGCCTCGTGTACGATACCTCATTTACTGCGCCGTACTGCTTTAACAGCACTTGCACGATGCTCGAGTATGGGGCATGTGCTGAGCTGGTTTTTAGATTAGAGGAACAAGACGCGGAGTATCCCAAACAATATCCACCCTGTCACAGCCCTCTATGAAACACAAGCTTTCGAAGACTACTGCAGGCAAACCTCCACTGCAAAGCATGCAACCATCCATCAGAAGACCGATAATCATAGCAGTGAGCGAATAAGTGGCTGACCCGTCTTCTAGAATTTTCAGGTGGCGGCACGGAACTTGAACCTACTAACGTTGCGCGCGGCTCGTGGGCTGGCCATTGGCCTCACTCGGCGCGTCTGTCCAACATCCTTCATCTCACTTAGAGGCAGCGGGAGGATTCAATTACACCCGTTCCATCCAATTTACAATAGGGCTGGTTGTCGAGCTGAGTCTGGACCGTGCTCAGTAACATCGGCTGGGTGGAAATATGTGCCCAAAAGGGGAAGTTGAGGATATAAGCCTTCCGTTGTGAGTGATTGGATCGTCACCGAACAATAAGCGATATAGTCGTAAGAAAATAAAATAATCCTCAGGGGCCTTTGCCCATTCAACTCGCCGTTTCATATCACGGCTAGGGTCTCTACAACTCGTCTCAGATTGCCAATTTCCAATTGTAGCACAACCAGCACGGGCCAAAGAGGAAACCAGGCTCACATACCCTAGAGAAGACAATTTGCATGTTCGTAGCATCCGACAGTTTCTTAGGAGTCGCCTGAGCATGTCAAGAAGAGTTACATTCGAAGCTCCCGAGTGTCCTTCATGAAGGAGAATGGCGACGTCTGTTTCACTACGGGTGACTCCGGCTCCATAGAGTTATCGGCAATGCTATCGTTCTTAATACGTCTCTTAAGACATGAAACACCAAGGGTATTGGAGCTTGGATATCACCTAGGAGCTACGTCGATGAGCTGCTGTTGAGTCAGTAAAAAGTCTCTTGAACCAATATCCGGCCTGTGCTTCGCTTAGAGTTCATCTCTCTCGTAGGCCTCATTTCAAAGTTTGTTGGCTTTACTAGAAGCGTTTGGATAACCGAGATACAACTCTGAAGACTGACCTTCGGCTACGGAGTACAAAGTAGATGTTTGATGATGAAAGCTGGCGGCTATGACCAGACTTAGTGATTTGGAGCTTTCGAACGGCCCTTTACTCCCAGAAACATCCACGATCACTATTTTTTTTTTTTTCCTTCCCAATACTTAGGCATGGTTGACGTAACAGATAAATTCGACCTCAACCTAATGGAGTCAGATGGCGTTAAGCTTAAGCTCATTTATTTAATAACTAACGTTCGAGAATCAGAACCTCCAGGTTCGACGGCAGTTTGATCTGGTCGATCTCCAAACATTGCCAGCGCTACCGAAAGCCACATTCATCATACGATAACTAAAGCGAACATGAAACATTCGATGAACTCTCAGTTACCAGCGGCGGTTAAGCGGGCGTTGAGTGTAACCACAATCAGATACTCTTGCGATATTAGTTCTTGGTGTTGGCACTCATCTACTAGGTCGTTCCTAGAAGCGAACATGGACCAAGGGTACACGAGTCTTGGCGGATATTGCCGTCTACAGTAGCAACGGGCCGTCTAGAGTGGTTTCCCGTAGCTCCAACGCCAATTCAAGCTCTATGGTGACGTCGAAAATTGAATAGCTTCCTCAGCTGCTAGGTATAGGTTAGGCTCAAAAATCTTGCATCTTTTACTGCTGAGTCAACAGCCTCTGCGTGCCTGGATCGAACGTCACACAGGCCAGTGATCTCGGAATGCAGAAAAATGCGTGACATGAAAGCATGCTGCTGCTGATCATGCCGACCGACATATTTGAGAAACCGTTGGTTTGCAAGTACACAGTACCAGTCCCATGACCGATGAGCCGTCACCGACAAAAGTATCCAATACTCATTGGACAGCATTGGAGCTTGATAACATTTTTTGGCGGGGACTCATGGCGGCCTGGAGGGGCAAAGCTCCAAAGAATCACCATATCAGAGCAGTCGACAACCTCCCCCGCCAAAACAAACCTCACCTCTAAACCTTCTTCCCCTCGCGTCGCAACTCTCATCCTTCTCGTCCTACTTGCAACCACTCAGTTCCTATAATTTCACACATCTCACATCACTATGTCGTGGCAAGGTCAGTTTCTCACTGTCTCTACTATCCTACACCGTCCCGCTATCGATTTCCCCTCCCCCGCCATCGTCCTTGTTCCTCATCACCGCCTCCAAATACCTCTATCTCGAAACCTTAACTTGAAGTTGGACGAAAAAGCTGACATGATGACTTTTCCATCGATATAGCATACATTGACTCAAGGTATATACAATCGATCCCATAACTCTTGATCATAGGCTATGATCATGCTTTCCGGCACGAATACCGATCGAATGCTGACATTTTTCGTCTCGATAGCCTTGTCGGCTCCGGCCACATTGACAAGGGCGCCATCATCAGCGCTGCTGGCGACAGCGCCTGGGCTTCTTCTCCTGACCTCCAGGTACGGCAACCCTCCTTCACCGACTCAATCTCTCGGGTCGATTGGCTAGCCCCTTGTTAATGAACAAAACTGACCTTGTAACCCCACTATAGCTCAAGCCCGAGGAGATGAAGGCCATCTCTGCCATCGTCGGCGGTGACTCGGCTGCCAAGGACAAGGCTTTCGCTGAAGGTCTCTACATTGCTGGCGAGCGTTACGTTATGGCCCGAGCCGAGGACCGGAGTATCTACGCCCGATCGGTGCGACGCCTAATTCACGAATCCCATCGCTTTTGACTAACTTCTTAATTACAACAGGGCCGCCTCGGTGTTGCTGTTGCGAAGACTGGCCAGGCCATCGTCATCGGCCACCACGGTGAGGCCCAGGTCGCTGGCAACGCCACCTCTACCGTCGAAGGTCTTGCCGACTACCTCATCAAGTCAGGATACTAGACATTCAGTGTGTGAGGCAAGGGTCTGGACGGAATCAACTGCGAGAAGCGCCAGGGAAACGCTGTTTGTCCGTGGAGCGGACAGTCAACGCAGCTATAACGAGCTTATGCCGAGAAGAGCGCCTTTGTTTTAGAGCACTGGGCTATGAGCTCGAGTGTGTTACCCGGGGGAGGACATTTTCCTTGTTTGACCAAAAATCGGTCGGACGAGTTTGTTTCTACACGATTCTGCATATAGGCAATCCAAGTGCCCCCAGAACCTGTCACCTGTATGCCAGATTTGAAATGATCATCAAATGTCAGCCAACTCGACTCTCCATTAAAACTGCTTTTATCGTTTGTTCTCCGTTCGTATCCATGATGTACAGTACTTTGTCCACCTTATTATAGGTACTCATGATGGTTCTTTATGTCATTAACGCCCATTCCAACCTAATATTTTCTCTTGAACTCCGCCATTCAACTCTTGCTATACGCGTGTCGTCGAATGCCTTTTACACGTAATGAATCTTGTTCTCGTTCGGGTGATGCATAAATGTGTCTGTGAGGTTCAGGGGAGCCTCTAAACAGGAAGCTCGGCGTTTCGTCTTCCAAGGCCTATCCTATCGGCGATCATTCCAATATACGGTCCTACGACAGGCAAGCCTCGCGCAAAGCCAGCAATTGTCCCCAGGAAATCTCCGAACAGAACCACTATGCCGTATGCTTCAACGATAAACCCGATAAAGGTCCACTTCATGAAAATCAGGATCAGGCCTAGGAAGAATGCCGCCGTGCCCTTTGCTTTTTGCTTGCGGGCGAAGAAGAGAAGTGTCTTTTGAGGTCCGATGATGATTGTCAAGCCGATAAGAAAGAGGATCTGTTTCGTACGTCGGTCGTTAGCCATCGCTCGTTCGCTGTAATAGAGGAAGGGAAGAGGTCATCATACATTCCCCATAGCAAGCCTGAATAGAAGTCAGTAAAAAAACCGCTAGATGATTGAATCTATCCATCCTTACATAGATCGGTCGAAGAATAGCATGACACCTCCTATCAGGAAGAAGCCTCCTAGAATAAACGTCAGCCGCCATACCTAACGTGCAGGCGCAGGCGTAAACGCACCGCCGGAGCAGAAAACAACTCCAATTTCTATCGCAAACGGTCAGCTTTCGTCCATATCGAGCAATTTCTTGTCTAAGGGGTAGCGCATCGTTGCAGTGCTTATGATCGCAACTCGCGTGCCAGTGTAAGATAAGGCGTACTTTGAGTATCTGTCAACCACATCGACATCTTGGCGGTTCTGTGTATCGCTGATTTGATTGATGAATTCGATCGGTACTGATAGTTTCGATGGTAAAGCGTACAATGAAGCTTCGACTAGGAAAAGGGCGGGATTCAGAGCAGGGAGAAATAACTGAGGCCAAATTACTGCAATGTTTCCTTTTTTCGTCATCAGCTCTGGTTCCTTCGAGGACACGTTCCAGGGGTTTACATGCGATTGACAGGGCTGTTCCAAACAGGGTTTAGGTGGTGCCTGGGGCTGCTTCGTGGCTATTGGCTGTGCTGCGTGAAAGTGGGCGAGCGTGGATTGTCTTGAAATTTTGCTGAGGACCGACTTTACAGGACTTCCATTTCTTCTTCATCTTCCACTGAGAGTTGGAAGCGACTCACGACTAAACGCTCTTGGTCTACGGCAATCCAATATGATTGCAGCGCAAATCACTGAAACCTTGTCAAATGGTTTCCAATTATTAGCCAGAAAAAGGGGAGGTCGTTGAGAAACAGAACGTTTGGTTCACTCTATGGAATAGCTTGCTACACATTTCCTTCTGACAGATTTCCTGTCCCTGCCGCGACGGCTGGCGGCGTTCTTCGCCCTGGCAACTGAGATTCGTTTCTTCCCCATACGTTCTCGGTAGTCTGTCGACCTAGGCAGAGAACAAGCTCATGATCACGATTAAGCCGGAGCGTCAATTGCCATCCCTTGGCCGAAAGGCTAAGGGTGCATAGTTGGGGCTTGACTTTGTTGGTCGGACACTCCTATTTGTAATCTTAGAATGGCATCTTTGTATAACGTGCGTATGTCTGGTAATTCCTCGCATGAACCCCGTATGGCAGGTTCCCGGGCCTCGTTGGTTTTTGAGGTTTTCGCAATTTCATCAAATCGGCATCCCAAGCTGGAGCCATGCTCACTTAAGGACGGTATGAGCACCACGAGCCTCGAGAAACTGCTCTGCCACACCCTGAGGTAGCGTCCTAATGAGGCCAAACACTTCCTTATTGTGATAGCGAAGTCGCGTCTTGGGATCGAGGTAAGGAGCTGGTAGTCCAGTCACGTCACAGTAATGTTTGTTATGCGCGAGTGATGGTGCCGATTCAATATTTGTGTAAGTGGCTGTTGGAGCCGACACACCACCTGTCGGTTTGAGGCTCTTCTCGAGGACAAGCTTAGACAGGTTTCGTGATGCTTGAGCCAGATTTGGGGGCTCCTTGCCGCTCTCGGTGGCTGGCGTGCTTGTACCGCTAGTCGAGAGTCCATCATCGGCTGGCGTAGCAATACCACTCGCGTCCATCGGCGTGCCAAGAGCTGAGGCTTCTCTTCGGGAAGCATCACCGACGATGGCCTTGAGGTTCTTGTTTCGACGCTGGTTGGGCTTCCAGGCCGGACTGCGGAAGTTCTTATGAGTGGAGTGAATGTCAAGCTTCTCTATAAGCTCTTGATGGGCGATTTGCGCCTCGGTTGGGGCGGCCATTGTGTCTCGTTTCAGGATAGCTGATATCGAAATTTTATCAAAGTCGGCTCGAAGGGTGTCAGCTGTTTTACAGACTTGTTTCACAATCGGTGATTAATGCAGGAAAAAGTGCTCTGGTTCAAGGTCTCTCTTGGTTGTCGCTGTCATGAGCTTGTCGCGTTGGATATTCTGCCGTGCCTCACCGTATTCCTAGCTTGGAGCTCTGACATACAACGAGATGCCCAAACATGGGATAAAGTAAACAGAGCACTCCGCCAACAAGTAATACTGCCTCGACCGTCTACTTATCGCTTCAAACCGATAGCCCGCTGAAATGGTAGGATCGATGAGAAATGCGACAAAACAACGCTCTGAAGCCTTACCTGACGTGTTTATAGGAATCCCCTCACGAGCACCAGCAGAACTTACTGCTTTCCCGTATCATCACCAATGTGGTATGTTCGGCGAAGCTGAACTCGCAAGATATGGATACTAATAGCATGCAGGAAAAGCTCAACGAAGCTGTCGTTGTTATGAATAAGAGCCTTCAGGTCAGGAGAGTCACATTTTACATCAATCCATGACTAACACGCCGCTTCAGGACATCAACATTCAGAACATGAACGTTGAATTGGTTGCGCAAATGTTCAAGAACTACCAATCGAACGTTCTATTTCACCTGGAGGGTAAGTGGCTTTCGTATGGTGATGTGTTTGCGACCGCTGATGATATTGGTTAGCCACGGACAACCTTAAGCCCCCGAACTGAGTGTCAACATGGGTGGCTCAGACTGGAGTTTTTGCATTTATGATGGCGCACGACTGTACATGAAATAATGACTTACTGCCAACTCTTCCAATATAGAAAGGAAGCTTTGCAAGGGATTTGACAGGAAGCTTGCTTTACCAGAACCAAGAGTGCCTACCTGACCTTGAACTTGTTTACCTAAATTACCTTGTGTATAATAAACCTGTCCAAAAGGCCATGTTTGACAGTGTCACTGAATATGTAATCTGGGGAAGCCAACGAAGGTATCTGATAGCCTTGGCCTGCATCTATCGAAGACATTACAATCTCTGCACGTGTTCGACACATTGGGAGGTCAAATGTGTCGTCTCTCACTGCATCACTTGCATTGTCGCGTAAGTGGATCCCGGGATTGAATGACACGGCCTAGATCAGCCTTGTAGCCTCACACCTTCTCAATTTCCAACAACGAAGCTCCGTATTTTGCGAGTTTGACAGACAATTGGCCACTAGAGTCAGACATCGACCAACCTAAACCTTTTTACTCCTCCCGTCATGACTTTTGTCTCTTACTTGTAAACTCCATCCGACCATCCTATTCGCAATCATGGCTCCCTCGGCCATCGATGAGCCCGCCATCAAGGCGCCCGAACAAAAGACATATCCTCCCGCCAAGATCTTCCCTGTCAAGGAGACACGCTTCGAGAATTACATCGAACCTACAAAAGATGGCCGCGAACGCGCTTTGAAGCAGCCTGATAGCGCTGCCATCGTCATTGATAATGGTGAGCTTCGAGCGCAAGGGGTTCGCGATGGCTGGCAATTGACATTTCGCCTTTAGGATCGTCTGCCGTGCGCGCCGGCTGGTCTTTCGATTCGAAGCCAAGGTTCAGCATCCCTCCGATTATGGCCAAATACCGCGACCGAAAACTAGGCAAGACCTTTTCTTTTGCTGGTTCAGATTGCTACGCCGACACGACCGCGCGAGGTCACATTCGAGGCGCCTTCGAAGCTGGTACAGGAATTGTCAGTAACTGGGACGTAATGGAGCATGTCCTCGATTACATTTTCCTGAAGCTTGGCATGAATGATGCAGACGGTGCCATTGAAGTGCCAATTGTTATGACAGAGGCTGTTGCCAATCTCCCTTACTCAAGAAAATGTACGTGGAACAATTCGATCCCGCAAGCTTATACTGACGTTCTTAGCCATGACCGAAATCATCTTCGAATGCTACGGCGCGCCTTCCCTAGCCTACGGAATCGATTCACTCTTTTCATACCGACACAACAAGGGCAAGACTGGTCTCGTGGTCTCGTCATCATATACATCTACTCATGTAATTCCTGTATACAACTCGAAAGCCTTACTTGGACAGGCCACACGATTAAACTGGGGAGGATATCACAACGCTGAATACCTCCTCAAGCTCATTCGACTCAAATACCCGGCCTTCGCTGGGAAGCTTAACGTCTCACAGGCAGAGCATATGCTACGGGACCATGGCTACGTATCTCGTGACTATGACAACGAGCTCGCCAATTATCTCGAGTGGACAGGGCTCGAGGATCGCGATATTGTCATGCAATATCCATTCACAGAAGAAGTGATCGTGCAGAAGAGTGAAGAAGAGTTGGCCAGGATAGCAGAGCGCAAGAAAGAGAGTGGTCGAAGACTTCAACAACAGGCGGCTAAGATGCGCCTGGAGAAACTGATGAAGAAAGAGCAAGATCTGGAATACTACAAGCAATTGCAAAGAAACATCACAGATCAGACCAAGAAAGAGATTCGGCGCCAGCTTGACAGCAACGACATTAAAGATGAGAACCAATTGGAAAAGATCATCAGAGACTTAGAGAAGGCCATCAAGAAGGCCCGGACAAAGGATGTTGGTGGTGATCCAGAGGAGGAGCAAGAACAACCTAACTTCGACCTTCTTGACATACCCGACGACCAGCTTGATGAGGCCCAGATCAAGCAAAAGCGTCAACAGCGTCTCCTCAAATCCAACCACGAGGCTCGAGCACGTGCGAAGGCAGAGAAGGAAGCAGAGAAGGCTCGTGTCATCGAGGAAGAGCGCGCCGATACTGAACGACGAGAGAATGACCTCGAGAACTGGCTCGATGAGAAGCGTCAACGACGTGCTGAGACGCTGCAAAAGATGAAGGAACGGGAGCGACTAAAGCAGGACCTGGGCAACCGTAAATCCCTCGCCTCTCAGATTCGCATGAAGAGTATCGCCAATCTCGCATCGGACAATCCGACCAAGAAGCGAAGACGTGGCGGTGATGATGACAACTTTGGTGCTGACGATGATGACTGGGGTGTCTATCGCCAAATCGCCGTTGGTGACAACAGTGATGACGAGCATGAGGAGGAAGATCTCCATTCGACTCTCAAGTCACTGGAGCAGGACCTTTTACGTTATGATCCTGACTTTGAGTACGAGCACACCCACGAAGCCCAGTCTGACTGGTCGAAATCTCTCCTGCACGCCTTTGCCCGAGGTCCCCGACCTTTCGACCCCTCCTCACAAGCCGAGCTCAACCAAATTCACCTCAACGTTGAGCGAATCCGTGTTCCCGAGGTTGTCTTTCGCCCCTCCATTGCTGGTGTCGACCAGTCAGGCATTGTTGAGATAGCCGGTGATATTCTCAACCAGCGTCTCGGCAATGTCCCTAACCGCGATGACTTCCTTCGTGATGTCTTTTTGACAGGTGGTAACACTCTGTTCAAGAACTTTGATGATCGTGTTCGCGAGGGTCTTCGTGCTCTCCTCCCTGCTGATTCACCACTGACCGTCCGCCGTGCCGAAAACGCCCTATTAGATGCTTGGAAGGGAGCGGCTGGATGGGTGGGTACATCTGCTTGGAAGTCAGCAAAAATCTCTAAAGAAGAGTACCAGGAAAAGGGTCCAGAATACATCAAGGTTTGTCCAAATCTATTCCACAGTGGCATGCTCTTACTAATGTGTATAGGAACACGACATGGGTAACTCGTATGCTTAAAATGTGTAGTGATGAAAACCTGGAGTCAAAGGCGAGTTCTTTATTAGGAGCGGTTCGGGTATGAGAATAATTTACATGTTGCCTTAATCAGGGATCTCTTGTCCAGAGTAAAAAAAGCCAAAGGAGAAAATGATAGACGCTTCCACACAAAACCGTCAGGCAGCTGCTCCACACTAAAAGTGTTTTCCGGGACACTCATTTTTATTACAGGAGTAGATATCTGGACTAACAAAATATAACCGTCTTGGTAATATCATCCGTAAACGTGACAGCCCAGGTAAACAGCAGCAAGACTCGCCAAGCGAAGCCCGCATGATCAAGGAGCCTTTGTTTCACCTAAACAGACCCGAACGCCCCTCTCTTTATAAATATAAAATCACGACAATCAGTTCCTTAACGCCATAATAACAGTTGCAGAGCCCCGAGCACATGGATATCATGCGGTTCTCTAGACCGCTGGTTGTTGTGCTTGGGGTTCCTCAGAGTGTTGCAATTGCTTGTTAATCTCGTCAGCAGTCCTTGTATCCTCAGCACTGGGCTCAACTTTGAAAGGCTCAGCCTTGAAATGCGGCGAGGGATACCTTTGGCGCTCGATTTGCTCCTGAGCCGCAAGACCAGCCACGGCTTGCGCAACAGCCTCCAAAGGCGTTCCTGCAGCTGGATTGCTAGGCGCGGGCTCGGCATGAGGAGCAGGAGCTGCTATAGCTGAAGCCGATGCTGGCTGAGCGGGAGCAAGGTTCACGTTCGGTGGGGGTGGGGGGTAGTCGCCTGACGTCTCTAACAACCGCGTTTGCAAATGAACGACATACTCCCGAAGCGCGTAATGTTCCGCCTGCATTGCTTTGAAAGACTGTTCCATATCCGTGAAATCGCGAACTTGCTGCTCGAGCTTTTTTATATAGCCTTCCTTCCGTTGTCGGAATGCTCTCTGGATGAATTGTTAGCCCAGGAGCTCAATTGCACGGCGATGTCACGGCGCCAGCCAACGAGGCATCATCAGTCGACTTACTTGTGCAGCTCGATTCTGTGCCGCGCGCTTGGATTGGGAAAGCTCCCGCTTTGCTTTGCGACCGTCTCCCATATGATCGTCTGCCGATAAAGGCGCTGGGGGCGCTGGAGCAAGCGCAGCGCTTGACGGGCCAGCAGATGCGCCTGGACTATGTCCAGACGGAGGAACAATGGGCATCATGTTTGCTGTCGGTGCGTGATTGGCTCGCGCGCGAAGATCAGGATGAATGTGAGCTTCAACTTCGCCTTTCGTGGCTAGAACTCGATGTTGGTCTTGAGGACTGGACAGATGATCGAAGCCATTCGCCGGCCGCGCAGGAGCGGGCTGTAAAGGCCGAGATTCACGGGGTCCGGGGGCAGTAGGTGAGGATGAGCCTGTCGCGTCGTGGCTCTTCAGGAGCTCGAGCTGTGCGCGCAAATGCTGCTCTATGTGGAGGGGTCGGTGTTAGCCAATGCACCCAGCACCTACGTCAACAGTAATTGAACCAGACGCGAAGCCGAGGTGGTCGAAACGAAAATCGGATGCAACTGTTGAGGTTAAGAACCTCTAAGTGTATTGTATATGGGATTGCGCAAATGACGCGACAAGGATGCCATTCAAATAGTAGACAGATGCAAGGAGCTCTATAGATGTCGCGATGGACGAAGGCCAAGGTGAGGCGTAGTATAGTGTAGATAATAGACAGAGCAGTAGGTCCAAATCAAGAACCAAGACGCGCCCAGACAAGGAAATAGGCAAAGCAGAACAGGAAAGGAAAAGAGAGAAGAAGAGTTGTCTTGACTAACCTTGATTATTGGCGCCGCTGGCTGAGGAGTTCTGCATGCTTGAGCTCTGGGGGAGGAGAGTCTGACTCAGCATCCAAGTAGCAATGACCCAGGGCGGGCGATGATGATTACTACAACGAGGGGGGGGACCTGACGCTGACTGACGGAGACGAGTGAGGAGAGAGTTCCGGCGGATGGATGACGGATTATGTAACCTGGATCCGGGACCTTTCAAGTGTG